AGAGAGAGAGAGAGAGAGAGAGAGAGAGAGAGAGAGAGAGAGAGAGAGAGAGAGAGAGAGAGAGAGAGAGAGAGAGAGAGAGAGAGAGAGAGAGTGAGAGAGGGAGAGAGAGCGACGATAGAGGGACAGAGAGACAAAGAGAAAGAGGGACAGAAGGAAAGAGAGACAGTGAAGAGAAGTTCAGTATTCAATGAATTGTACTGTTCCCTACTGCCCCGGTATTACCCTACCATCAGAGCATCTGTTTAATTGCAAAATGATGACCCCAAATGTAGCCCCACTTCTACCAATGCACTTTTTAAATCAGAATCAACTAAAAGAAAAATCAGAACCAACAGCTAGAGTGAGTGGCAGAGTCTTCAGTTACCTGCTCAACACGTTGTTTTCTGTGCCTAGTATTGCACGCCTTTCACAATGACAGTGTCCGTACCATTCAGTGATACTTTACGGTGTCTTTGCATGCCAGTACAGCTGATGACTTACACCACAGACCGACTCTAAATATATTACCTACGCCGCTAAGTTGCTACAGGTCGGCACCGTTATGTTGTAAATATTTCTAACCATCTTATTTCAGAACGGATATTGTGCAATTAGCAGCAGCCTGGGTTAGCTCTGCCAACAAAGTCAGTGTGAGTGAGATACTGGCTACACTAATTGCTGCGAACATAAAAAGAAACAAGCTAGAGTTATGCCGTTCATATTCCAGTAGCACGTAAGCACTGGCATACATTAGTAAGCGACTCGCAATTGATGAGGTTTTCTCTCGTGAGCCATCAGTCACTGGGGCCAACATCGTAAAGACTGCCGACATGCCTGTTACAGGAATAGCGCACGCCACACGGAGAGAGAAAGAGGGAGGAGAGAGAGAGAGAGAGAGAGAGAGAGAGAGAGAGAGAGAGAGAGAGAGAGAGAGAGAGAGAGAGAGAGAGAGAGAGAGCGTGCAGAATTGGCAGAGGACCCCGTTTGGGGACGGGGACGGGTTCTGGGCAGAGGGGGGAGACGATGATTACCGCCCCACGTCTAATCGCGGCCACACGTCACACGCAGTCACGCGCTTATCGTCTTCGTTTTCAATTACATCACTCAGCGAATGGTGTGTCTGTGTGTCTGCGCTGAGCGGGGTGTGTGTGTGTGTGTGTGTGGTGGGCCGGGCCTCGTGTCACGGGGTGTCACGCAGTGTCACGCGCCGTGAGGAGGTGCGACACGCAGTCGGCGCGACCGTTAATCGAATACGTCGCCGGAGTCGGCCGCTGCACACAGGAGGGGACGACACGACAGGGTGACGGCCTTTGTGTCTGGAGACCTGACCTGCGGCTGACCTGAGGGGTAGCCAGGGAGGTGTGAGGTGCGAGTCTCGTCCGCGCATATAACCGTAATCAGATGTGCACATAGACCTCACCACACAACACCTATAAATGAAATCCATGAAATGAACCTCTACTTATGACACCTATTAAATGATTTAAACAGCATCGAGGCCTTACCCACTCATTGGCTTCAAATATTTGATAATCAATATCATGTCAACTTTTGAGCTGTAGTATCACCCTTCCACGAACACTGATCGAGCATTTTTATCGCATATGCTTGGATGCATCTCAGGTCAGGACATTCAACATCAAAAGTAATACGACTCATAACTGTTCCTTCAGTCATGCAAAAAGCCGTCAGGTTTCCTTCTGTTCAATGACATAATTACGGCATGACTAATGTCCTCGTATATATTGTTTTACGTTTTGGTGTGCAGCGCACCAGAAATAGAAATAACTTACAACCACAGTGGCATCACATAAATAATCCACCGTCACCATAATGCCTGTAAATATGTGTTTCACGCACATATCTCACAATGGCCTGTCATTGACATGCGCATGTGCAAAGTTATGAACACTAATTTCCACATCAACACGTACGGGAAAATTCCGTTTCAAACGTGCAGTGACGGACCCAGGGCCGGAATTATTACCGGAAACAGTCCAACAGCTGTTAATGGTGTGAGTATTGACACCCGCCTATATTTACCTGAAATGGCAGAGTGCACACCTCAATATACTTACGTCTTGTTTACGAGTGGCGAAGGTGGCCAGTTAACAGAATCGCAGCCGATGGTAATCTGATGGGACAATGCCTTACGGGGAACTACATATAGCGGTAACCGATCCCGCTCGGGTTAATCGAACAAATAGACGGTATTGGTAATTGAGTGGGCACTGACTGCTCGAACACTTCTGTAAATCGAGCAGCAACTGCTGATCGATACATTGGAGGCATCAAGTCACCTACTGATGAACACGTAACTGCATTTTACGCACCCCCAATTCACCATAAAGATGTGAATTGCCGGTTCGTTCTAGAAGTATATTAAGCTAATGCGACAAAAGACATTTAACGGTAGATAATGCAGCACCGCACAGCACGGGTGCGTTGTTCCTCGGCACGGCCGGGCAACGCAGTGAAATTTGGCGGATTATCCACGCGTCCATCTTCACTTCAGTAGTCTCTTTTATCACCAGTTCTTCGCCTCCCATTGTAATAATTCAGGCGGCGCGACCACCGATTCCCTTACTTTGCTATCATAATATTCCCGAGCGAGCTTAACAACCGTCTGTAAATGGACAACCAGTTTCTAAGGAACATAAATATACATACAAATGTATTCATTTCAAAATAAGTTAAATGCTTATGCGTGCTCTGGTGGATGTGATCACCTGGGGAACGGAATACCCTGGGTAGCTAACAAGCCCACTTAGTTTCAGAAAGCGTCGCATTTAACGAATCCTGCTCTGTATTTCACCCTGGTACGCGCAGTGCGTCAGTTGAGGCGCGCCGATATGGCCCAGCTCCACCATCACGGGCTCCATCCATCTCTTGTTTCGAGTTCATTAGGCCGATATGACTGTGGCCGGCGGACGGAATGGCCATATCTCGCCTATAAATATCAGCTGAGAGGCCGGCGTGACACACCGCGGCTGGCCGGCAGATGGGAGGCGGGCTGACTGGGGTGCAGGAGACTGGCCTGGTCAGACGTGCAGCGGGGTGCAGGCGCGGGTGCCTGGTTTGGGGTGAGGACCTTGGTATTCACAGACCAGTGTGAAGGTAGAATTTAGAATGTAGACGTAGAGGTCACAGTGATCTAGTGGCGGAGGCCGATGTCTCCCAGTTGTCGGAAGGTATCTGCTCACCACTAAGGACGACGCGCTGTGGAATATCGTCCATGTGTCTCAAATACGGGCATCGCGAGCATTATGCCACACATCTACATACTTATTACCGCTGTGACTGTGGTGACGACGGCTGTGCTTCCAGTCGTCTCACTTCAGCCGCCACCACGACCGTGTGTTGGTAGTAATGTGATAACCTAACGGGGCGGCAGTCATTCTTAACCCATTTCGCCACTTATTGAGCACCGATTACGCGCTTCTTCCTAAGGACGACATCCCCTTCCATCAGCAAATCAAGGACAGCTCAATGCCCCGTTCCCGATAACCCCGAATACAGCCTTCTTCCTCATCTCCAGAGGCCTTGCTCGTCATTCTTTAACCCGTTCCGCACTCACCTCTGTGGAGTGTCAGTCCTCATCTTCAGCCCGGCGAGCGGCGGCGGCAGCCGCTCTCAGTTTGATCCTGTTCCGGTAATCTACCGTGTCCATACGGCGGCGACAGTAAGCCGATTGTGGCCGCGTTTTTCGGCGGCCGCTCGCGTCAGCACCGAGTGGCGGCTCCTCTGTTCGTTCCGCTCGCGCGCCGCTGCTGACAGCTGCAGACAGTGGCGCACGATGAGCATACTGAACAGACGAGCTGACAGCAGGACCGACAGACACGGTCTGACATTAATGTGATGGCGCCATTACATGGGTGAGGGCCGCGCCGCTGAACAGTGGAAAGCGAGAGCTGTGTGTGATGAGCTGAGTGGCAAAACAAGCAGTGGTTTGAGCATGCTGAACTCTGAAGTGCAACACCAAATAAAAATGCACAATCGGATGGGAGTAATTAACCACACCACTGTCATACGAGGCAGGGAAGTGTTATCACAGTTGCAGCAGGCACCATCATCACGTAGAGGAGCAGGACTTGTAATTTTGTGTCCACGAAAGATAATGACTAGTTTGCTTGCTATTTATTCCGACTTCAATTTCGAGCTATGAACAGTTGAACACCCGGTGCATGGTCATTAACATCAGCTTTACAATGTCCATTTATAGCGTTCATAATTGTACTAGCCCATCAACATTTCATGAAGTGAAAATGCGTTTGATGCTCGTTTGAAAGACAATGTGAGGACGCGAGGCCGCGTTTGAAGCGAACCTAGTGATTAGCAGGCTAACCAAGAACAAATTCGCTAATGTTAATTTCACTGAATGAAATTAACATTAAGATGCCGGCAGATTTGTGTCTCATCTCTAGGTATCATTTACGTCGGTCAACAGTCGTTGATACCACAACAGCCGTTGTGTCTCCCATCAGCCGCTCCATCAGACTAACTGTCCCGTCCCGACATGCTGCGTCATGCCATTTTACATTATTCCGACTTCTGGCCCGCCGCTCGACACACAAACTGAATTATCACTCCACAGCGTGGCGGGCCGATCACAAATGCATGACCCACAGATAATGGCGCCTGTAAACATTAAAGACATCCCATTACTGCGTGTCATGACAGGAGGCGGCGCTGGCCGCTGAGCCGAGCGGCGGCGTCCGTCCGTCCGCCGGCCGGCGACAGGCGCGGCACAATGCAATGTCTCGGTCGGCAGCGGGCCGGGGGCGGCAGCCGTGCCCCGCCGCCGGGCGCGCGGCTGTTTGTGCATGCGACTCACTGCCGCCGTCCGACAAACTGGACCTCCGGCGGCCAGCCCACAATGGGTGGACGGGGCACGTGCGCCGGCCGCCGCTGCCAGCTCGGACAGCCTGAATGGCCTGCGGCGGGGCTGGTGGCTGGACGGTAGTCGGGCTGAATGGGGCCCTCAGGCGGGCCCTCGACTCACAGAAGGACAGAGGTGAGGTCAGCGGCGGCTGAAAGGATCGTCTCAGTGGGACTGGAACGCGCGGGTGGTGACGGGCACTACGCTATGGACGGAACCGGTGCAGTGTCACCCTTCAAGTGTTATGTGGCGACAAGACAGTGTGTGCCGTGAGTCGACAGAAAATTGTTTGTCGACCGCCGCACGGAGGGCCGAATTTACATGCCCCGCCATCCGAAATCGATCCACGATCAGCGGGAAGCGGCGGTAAAATGAATTTGACTTTGTAATACATGCGTGATTAATTTGTTTGGTTTCAGGTGGAGCGATAAATTCGCCGCGGCCGCTCACCCGCTGCAAGCTGTCTCCTAAATTTCCGTTTTCATTTAGATGGCCGCGCTGGCGGCGGGGGTCGGCGGGCAACTGCAGGCGAGTCACGAACCCTGCTTCCTCCGCGGCGGCGGGATGGCCGCGCCGGGCCGTGTTTAATCATGTGCCGCACCGGGCGCCGGTGCCGCGGCCGGCCGGACGCAGTGCGCCTCACCCCTCTCCCTCTACCATGCTGTCTCCCACGGGCGCCGCCGCGCCGCGCGACCACCGCCCCCGGCGCCGCCTTTCTGGCACCTCGCCGACCAATGAGCGGCCGCGCGGCGGCCAGGCTCCGCCCCCGGCCGGCCGCTGGTGGCGGCGGCGCCTCCGATCGGCAGAGTCGGGCCGCCGCTGCCGCCGAGTGACGCACGACGCCGCGCTGTCTGCCGTCATCGCCAGTCGTCAGCAGTGCCGCACGTCATCAGCTCGCCCGTCATCGTCAGTGATCAGCCGTCGCCAGCTGTCACCAACTCCAGCCGCCACCAGTTGGTCTGCGAAGACTCAGTGACGCCGCTGTGCTCCAGCCTCGCCCAGCACCGCCGCCGCCGCCATGCCGCGCCCGACCCGTGAGTCATACGGCGACCAGAAGCCGCCCTACTCGTACATCTCGCTAACGGCCATGGCCATCGCCAACAGTCCCGAGCGCATGCTGCCGCTGTCCAGCATCTACCAGTTCATCATGGACCACTTCCCGTACTACCGTCAGAACGCCACCAAGTGGCAGAACTCGCTGCGCCATAACCTCAGCTACAACGACTGCTTCGTCAAGGTGCCGCGCCGGCCCGACCAGCCGGGTAAGGGCGCCTTCTGGACGCTCCACCCCAAGGCGCAGACCATGTTCGAGAACGGCTCGCTGCTGCGCAGGAGGAAACGCTTCAAGCTGACCGAGGATGAGAAGGAGGTGGTGCGCGCCGTGCTGGCGGCCCAGTCGGCGCCGTGCCGCCCGGTGCCGTACGGCCGGCCGCTGCCGCCGCCCGCCGCCCCCGCCACTGCCGCCGCCGCCGCCGCGCCGTTCCCGGCGTACCCGCCGTGCGCCCCGGCCGGCCGTGCACGCCAGTCGTTCAGTGTGGAGAGCCTGGCGCAGTCGGACGCCCGGCCGGAGCCGGTGCGACCGGAGCCGCTGCACCACGGCTACCTGAGCCGGCCGCAGCCGAGCCTGGCGCCGCTGGCCCCGATGCCCGCCTACGGGGTGCCGTGGGGGCCGTACTCGGCCGCCGCCGCCGCCGCCGCCTGCTACCCGGCGCCGCTGCGGCTGGCCGGTCTGAGCGCCGTGCTCGGCTACGCCCAGCACGGCCACCTGTCCCCGGGCGGCAGCTCGTCCCACTCCGAGTGCGAGTCGGCCTCGGACAGCGACCGGAGCTGCTAGGAGGCGCCAGTCAGTCCCGCACCCGCAGCTTCACAGATCAACCCCCTTATGGCCGGTTCAGAGAGGTCCCCGCACCCCCCGCAGGCCCGCCCGGCTCAGCGCAGCGGCCGTGGCCTTAATCGTTCCTATGCTTTATCGATGTTTATGTATTTTATTGGTTTGCTGTTGTTGTTGTCTGTGTACCTGATGTCACGGCGAATGAGTGTCGATGTCAAATGACGTATATGCATCGGTGGTGCTATGTCAATGTCACCGCAGCTGTAAAGAGAGGCATAAATATACTTCTCCATGATGAATAGCGCTGTCTGAGCTGGCAGAGAGATGGAGGAGCGACAGGGCCGACACAAGTGCCACTCAGCGGCGCCACCGGGCGGCGAAAAATTGAGACATTCTATTGAGTTGATGGGCGCGGGCCGCGAGCGGGTGCGGTGGGTGTATTAGAGGGTGGAGGCGCCGGATCTGTCGCCTGGGGGTCTGACTGCGGCTCGGTCACCGGACGAGCGCGCCGCGACGGCCTGTAATCTCCCGGCCCGGCCGGCCGGCCGGTCATTAGGCGGGATTATGCAGAGCCCAGCTGGGAGCTGAGGCGCCATTGCCGGACGGGGCTGGACGCCACTGCACCGGTCGGCCGGCGGAGGTGGCGACAGCGGCGGCACACGCGCGACGCGCGAAACTCGGTGGCACGATGAGAGCCGGTTTCACAGTCACGGCTCAGGTCCACCGTGTGCCCGAACTGATGATAGCTTGATAGGCTTGTCAAATTGATTCTTTGTTCTTCAGCCGTGAATGTTTTACCCCGTCATGGTAGGACGTTCAACACAAACGTTTGAAAGAGAAATTCTCACACCTTAAATCAAATGGTTTATAAAAGCGGTGGGGAAAATTTCACCGATTTACGGTTAGTGAAAAGCTCATCATAACGTACACAACGATTCCTTATGTGATATCCATTTTATAGCATTTTGGCACGAAGAAATGAAATTGTTTGTCACTACTAACCCAATAGTAATGAATAGAGGAATGGGAACAGGGGAATCGGTCTTGCTATTGTTATTGGATCGTTCCTGTCTTAGTTTGAAAACAGCAAGCGTCCATCGTCGACGACTGCTACACAAAACTTTCGCAGTGAGATGGCTAAAACAGTTACCATTTTTATAATGTGCAGTTATAAAGGTGCTATTCCATAGCACAATAATGCTGTCTTGATAGACGGTAAATAGGAGTTTGCTGAGAGAACTTTGCCGGGTTTTAAAATTTACTACGTCAGCAAAATAGGTCAGTTTGATGGCCACGATTTAAAGGCAAACAGTCAGAAATAGGTGCGGAAAGTAAGCTGATGAAGACAAGTAGCTGGCGCAAAGAACAAACATTTGCTGAATACATGAACTTGAGACGCAATAAAGAACTGAAATTCTGAGAGGATTGTTTATCATTTGCACGTAAAGACATTTGAAATAGCATTAGTAAGTCATGTCGTCCTGTACCCGGACATAATGGAACAAGTAAGGATTTAGTAATTATCTACAATAATCATAATATAAATGATTGATATAGCAATCATGATCAATGAATCGAGTGATAAAGTGGAAACGGAAAGCTGTAGAAGGTCACAAAATTAAAGAGCCCCTACCTTTTAAATCACGTCAATGTGCATTTAATCATGTTTTAATTTGTCATTCAAAATATAGTATTTCCTTGTGTACAGCCTCCTCTCAATTTTGACATTAGGGTCAAAATGGGTCCACTGATAAAGTTACTATATTCATCAGCTAAAATTGCAACACTCTGAAACTCATTTGTATTTAAATTAATAGAACACCAGCCAGAACACCACCAGCCTGCATTTCATCAAGCTGTGGTAGTAGGCACTTGCTTCAAGTACGCCCTGTTATAACGTGGGAATGGAAAAAATACCGGTCTATCTTAGGTTAGTAGATTATCCAGAATTGGAGGATCAAAAGCATGCGATAACATGCTTTTGCATCCGGAAATTCCCATTGGTGGGTCGCTGAAAAAAAAGTTCGGCTGAACCTGTTTGTCAGTGAGTGAGTATGTGAGTATGTGAGTGAGTTTGTCCAAGCTTTTTTGGACCTGGAGTCAAAATGGGTGGACCGATCGGGACGAAAGTGGGACCGTTTGATTCGTCTCCGGCGAGGTAAACTTTTGGTGCTGGCCTCGGTTCGCTCGGTGCTTTGTGGCACATGCTATTCCGCTTCAAAGTTTCGGTGACACGAAATTTTTTTGTCAAGGCTACAGGTCAACCCGAGGTCACGGGCAAAGCCATACTGGCGGGACACATCGGTAACACCTTGAACCAGTTTCCAGGGGGGTCACCGTCTGCGAGGGGTGCAGGCTGCACGTGCTGGGGTCGGAAAACCGTTTTGACGTGAGGTCCTCTGGCTCAAAGAAATTTTAAGCTATCAACTTTAAAATCGGTTCAATGGTAAGGCCTCCAAAATAATGCACATTTCATTGGGCTATGGATCCTCCAATTCTGGCCCAAGGCAACGCACGAGCGCTGCCGGCATCTAGTAAAAAAGGTCAAAAAATGAGTCACTTTCAAAGGTAGATATGTGTAACAGTCGAAATTCAAAATTGTTGTCTAGTCTTACTTCACTTTAAGTTGAAGCCCAAGTAATGGCCGTATGACTTATGTGTTTCTAAAGTGACAGAACTAGCACAGAGAAATCCATAACCAAGCGCAAAATCCAATGCCTTTACAAGACAAGCTAAATACTAAGAGATAATATATATATATATATATATATATATATATATATATATATATATATATATATATATATATATATATATATGTGTCGCCACGTGTCCTCTGGTATTTCACACGCCAACTACACTTATTTAGCCGGATGATAGACAAGGACTGTAGGAGAGCGATGGGTAGATCAGGATGGTGAGGAAGACGCCAGCCGCTGCCCGATTCCAGCCTCTCGATGGCGAGACCACTGTAATCGGACAGATCAACCGATACTCCGGCGCCTCGATGGCAAGGTTAGCCGGAGCCGACTGGTCGCACCCCTGTCTGAGCGGAGACCCCGCACCCGAGCCTCGATGGCAAGACCCGGGGAACGAGTTTAAGCTCAGTGACTCGATGGCGAGACACTGTGGCCGCCTCCCTCACACACCCCGGAAGAGGCCGTGTTATGAGTCCCGGATGAAAGGAAATGATCGGCTACTCGCCCGCTATGAAGACTCGCTGCTGTTCACTGTCCCGTCCCCTTTTCCACTGGTCCAGCTCCTCTCCACACCAGTTAAGATATTTTCACTTGCTGTATTGTGCACCACCACCACCACACCACAGCCAGAGCACCACTTCCACCCACACAGCGAGCACTTCCCCGCCGAGCATCCAGAACGAACTCCCCTCGAGCCCCGTGCGCCGACCCGAGGTCACCTCGCCGGCGCCCCGAGGGCAGGAGCCCACACAACCAATCACAGGGCCGCTTACAATGAGCCAGCTCAGTGCCGGCATAGCCCCGAGCGCCACGTGGTCGGCCGGCCGCCGCATGGCCCGCTCGGTGGTCCCGGGCGGCCCGGCCTGCAGCCGCCGGTGCTAACATCCCCCCGCACCGTGTTGCACTGCAGGGCAACACTCACGAAAGGTAACCGGCGTGCTGCCGTACTACATCGCGTCGCTAACACATATAAACCATTTCACATTCCAACAAAAGCGATGCTATTTCTTCAAACACCAGCAAAATACAACATGACACAGAAAAAATAAAAACACTTCCACTTCGTTAAGCAAAGATTAATGATGGGGATCAGTGGTATATCCCCACCGACGCACCAAGGCGACTGGCGACGTCGTCGCTGCTAGACGAATCGCTGCCGCCCAAGCAGAAACCGCCACATCCGAGGAAGCTACCGCCCGAGCTGATGTAGCCGAGGAGGTTACCGCCGGCGCCACCCGTGCTGAGGCGGCTGAGGAGGCCACCGCCGCCTGCGCCGAGGCCGCTGCAGCGCTCGCGGAGGCTAATGCCTCCCACGTTGGAGATGGAGAGACGCTGGAGAGCCTCCAGACTCAGAGGACCCTTGGTCCTCTAGTGCTTGATAGCGATGTGTCAGGATCGTGTAAACCCCGCTGGTTTATCTCACGGTTGCGGAGATGCTTATGTTTTGTCTCTCCCAGCCCCTCGATGGCGAGGCCACTGGGAGCAGACGGAAAGGTCGATGGTTCGACCTCTCGTTGGCGAGATGACCTGTGCGTCACTTGACTCCGACGCCAGCACGCGTTGCAGGTCAGCCCGTAAATCTCTGCAAGTCTGTTGGCCACGAAGGTCTTGAACCGTCGAGTTTCATTATCAAGGTACTGCTGGATGGCCTTGCTGTCCGTCCAGCAGAAGACGTCATCCGGTGGCTGAGTGATTTCACCGAGGACGGTAGCCACCAGACGCGCTCCAAGAACGGCTGCTTGCAGCTCCAGACGGACAATTGATAGTCGCTTCAGTGGAGCGACTCGGCACTTGCCGATCACGAAGCGACAGTGGTGTAACCCATCGCTCGAAGTTGTCCTCCAGTATGCCACAGCGCCGAACGCACTCTCTGACGCATCGCAGAACACATGAAGTTGGCGTCGCAGTGTCCCTGGGCCGATGGGGTTCACGCAGCGTTGCATCACGACTTCGTTCAGCTTCTCTGCTTCACTCAGCCACTCCAACCATTGGCTCAGCTCAGGTTCGGGTAGTGGCTCGTCCCACTCCAGATGTTTCCACCAGAGTCGCTGCATCATCATCTTTGCTCTCACGGTAACAGGAGCAGCAATCCCCAGAGGGTCAAAGATTGTTGACACTTTGCTGAGCACACCACGCTTGGTTGCACTCACTTCTTTGGCTTGGAGACGAAACCCCAATGTGTCCCCGTCTTCCTCCCATGCGATGCCCAGCGTCTTTACAGCGGTGTGCGAGCTCCTGAGATATAGGCTCGCAGAGGCGCTGGCTCTCTCACTCTCTGGAACGCCTTTCAGCACAGCGGGGGAAATGCTTCTCCACTTCGTGAGGTGAAAACCTCCTCTCTCCAGTGCCTCCTTCACGTCAGCGTACAGCTGTTTGGCGGCGTCTTCCGTCATGCAAGAGAACAGGCAATCGTCCATGTAGAACGATTTTGCCAGTTGCTCGGGACTTCTGCTGAGAACCTTGTCTGTCCCCGCTCCATGGTCCAGAAGTGCTTTTCTCAGCACGTAGTTGGCCGTTGCCGGTGATGACTTCGCGCCAAAGATGACCACCTCCATCTGATAGACGTCAGGCTTGCGGTGTCGCTCCATATCTCGCC